GCGAGCCACAGGCTGGGCAGACCCCCTTACCTGTGGGGCATGTGCTCACCTGGTCTCCCCAGCCATGGTCCAGGAGGCTGTGAGGCAGGGGTCCTTGGCCTGCCTGGGCTAGGATCCTGTCATGCAGCTGATACTCCATCCCATATGCTCAGAGAATGCTATCACACACTCTGGTTGGTGGCTCCGGTCGAATACTGCTCCCCAAATCCTCCTTCCCAGTGAGTCTCAGCCAGCCCTACCCACTCCTCCCTGGAGAAGCAGGATCCAGCCTAGGTCTGAGGACAATGTCTCTGCACCCAGCTGGTCTCCTCACCACAAATGCCTAAGCTGGAGGCCAGGCTGGTGTCTGCTCTCCAGGGTGCTGTCCAGGCTCGTAGGAAAGGCAGGCCCAGGCTACCATTTTGCCTCTGCTCAGAGCCCTGCCCCCAGCACAGGGCAGATAGATGCAAAGAGCTGTTCTCCCAGCTCTACCCTTGCTCTGCTCTCTACCCCAGGGTCTTCCATCTCCTCCCTCCCCACTCACTGCAGGCTTCACTGATTTTCTCATTCCAGAATCTCCCATTCCAGCCTGTGCTGGACTATCTTTTCTTTAGGGAGGTGTGCCCAACCCTCTAGACCATGCGGGTCCCAGCTCTGTCAGCTCCCCAAGTTTGGCAGATTGCTGGGCATCTAGCCCAGCATGTCTCCTTCCCTTTGGTAACAAAATCTCCAGAGGGGGCTAAAAATATGAACTATTTCCCAGCTTTTATGGCAGCTAAGTGTGAGCATCTAATTTCCAGCCAGTTGGACTGAGATGCAGACGCCCCTCCAGAGTGGGCATGCCCTCCTTCGCTCTGTCCCCGCCTCTGGCTACTCAGACACCAGTGTGATGGTGACACACAAACATTGTGGGCTAAGCAGAACTGCAGTGAAGTCCTGAAGCTCAGGTTAGCTCAGGTTAGCTGTCGGCTCCAATGCCGACCTTCAGGTTAGCTCAGGTTAGCTGTCGGCTCCAATGCCGACCTTCAGGTTAGCTCAGGTTAGCTGTCGGCTCCAATGCCGACCTTCAGGTTAGCTCAGGTTAGCTGTCGGCTCCAATGCCGACCTTCAGGTTAGCTCAGGTTAGCTGTCGGCTCCAATGCCGACCTTCAGGTTAGCTCAGGTTAGCTGTCGGCTCCAATGCCGACCTTCAGGTTAGCTCAGGTTAGCTGTCAGCTCCAATGCCGACCTTCAGGTTAGCTCAGGTTAGCTGTCGGCTCCAATGCCGACCTTCAGGTTTCCTCATGTAAGGGCCATCACCCTGTCTTCTCGACACAAACTGATTTTCCACCTAATGCAGCTGGTGGTGTTATACCAGGTAGACAGAATAGTTACCACTCAGGCATGTACTTGCTCAATGTGCATTCTCTGAAACACGCTGAGCTTTGAGGTAGCATTGGTATGCTCTGGCCATCTGTGACCTTAGCACCCAAGGCACAGCCTGGGGATGCGCCCAAAGATTAAAGAACCAGCTATGGTAAGGGCTCAGAGTGTGAGCAAGGGCAGAGATAAGTGTATGACCAGGGTCAGGGCTCAGTGCGTGACCAGGATTGATGCTTAGTGTGTGAGCAGGGTCAATGTCCGGTGTGTGACCAGAACTCATGCTCAATGTGTAAGAAGGGTTGGAACTCATTGTCTAACTGGGCCTATGGCTCAGGATGTGACTATGGTTGGGGCTCCATCTGTGAGGAGAACCCAAACGCAGTGTGTGATAGGATTAGGGCTCAGCCAGAACTAGAGTAGGGCCAGGGTAAATTTACAACACTAGAAAGCGCTCTTGCCAAGAGGCAGTATTAGTCGTGTGGTGTTTTCAGTGGACAAGAACCTCGAATGAGGACCCTCAGAGGCTTCTCAGAGGTAGTGGCATGGAGGGGACTCTGGCCAGGCCTGTTAACAGAACAGGGCTGGCTTCCTGGAGAGTGGGCTTCAGTATAGAAGGAACAGCACTATGTGTCCCTAGGGCGGGGTGAGGCTGGAGTGCCAGGTGTTATGTCAAGGGCAGCTGAACACGGCTATAAAGTTTAGATTTTTCATAGTCACAAGCACTTCCCACCCACGTCAAATCCAAACCAAGAGAAAGCGATCGTTCACCTGTCAAGATACTGTGCTCTTGGCCCTCAGGGGCTAGGCCTCCCCAGAGCTGCTGGGAACAGCACGCTGTCCCACCCAGGCCAGTCTGGCCTCCTGCCTCCCCCATGGGGATCAGGCAAGCCACTGCCCCTGACTGCCAGACCTGGCTCCCAACAACCACCCAGCCAATGATGCTGTGGGCTGTGCCCTACCAACAGGAGCAGAAGACACAAGACCTGGGAGATCAAACGGAGTCCAGGGAAGCAACGGAGGAGAGGGTCTGAGACCAGAGAAGGTCCTGCTGCTCTGCTGGGAGGCTGAGAGCAGGGCCACTCGCCGGGGTGGGGAGTGGGTTTCCAGCTCCTCACAGCCAACAGCACCACTTTTTCCGGGATTTCTTTGAACTTATGTAAGAAAAACACTTTCTGCAAGAAAAACCAACAGGTACAAAATGGCACCCCATCCCACACAGTCTGTGGCCTGTCCTGGCTCCCTAGAGGCCCGGTCATGTCACCTCTCTCCAGCCAGACCCTCCCTCCTCCCCCACCTTTAGGATCATCCCTGAGAAGACCTCCAAGCCCAGGTGGGCACTCTGGGGGCATCTGGTGGGTCCCTGAGCTTCTCCACCAGCAGGCACACTGTGTGGGACCCAAGCTGAAGCTTCCTGGGCTGGGTGTGCTGTCACTAACCACACAAGGGTCTGGATGAGGGCCTCAATGCCATCAGTCCATTGCTGGCTCTGCTCAGTCAGCCACTGCAGCAACGCAGTGCTGGGTCATCCGCACATTTTGTTCCTGGGGTCAGCTGGCCAGCAGGGTGCCCTGCTGCCTATGCAAGTCCAGCAGCCACTGCTCAAAGGTAGGTACTTTAAGTGCTGCTTCTGAGGTCCCCCATTGAGGGCAAAGAATGTGCGGGTGGGGGCATTGAGGGCAGGGAGGGCCCAAAGGTCGCCATGCACATGGGGTGCTGAGGCTGGGAATGCAGGTGGGGAGAGTGAGGTGGGTGCATGAAAGACTCTACAGACGTCCATTGGTTCAGGTTCAGGTGGGCTGGGTCCATTCATGGTCTGTATAGGTAGCCACAGGGAGCTGGGGGCCTCTCATCTTCCTGGTTGGCTAGCTGAGGGAGACAGAAACATTAGGCTGTGCTGGCCACCACTGGGCAGTCCCACTGGAGACCAGGATGGAGGGGCAGGGCGGGGCATGTAACTGTTCAGACGGATAGGTAAGCTAAGAGTCCATGGGTAAAATGTTTACCCAGCATTGCCAGGACCAGACCACAGACAGTCACAATCACCACTGTCCTACCGTCTCGTCATCTGACTTTCACCCACCCACCCACTGGTCCATCTATCTACCTGCTATCCTGTCTATCCATCTATCTGTAGACACACACCCACTCTTCCATCTGTCCACCCATTTATTCATCAATCGGCCTGCTGGCCTCCATCCATCCATCTTCTTTTCTGTTCATCCACCCACCCACCCACCATCCCAACCTCACCATGCCTGTGGACTCTTGCACTACACCACCCCTTTATGCATTCCTCTATCGTTCCAATCAAGCTTTCCATCCACTTATTATCTATCCACCTGACCCTCACTGTCTGTGCATCCCAGGGGATTTCTGAGAAGGAAGACAGGCCAAGCTTCCCCAGGGTCTGCATGTGGAAAGCTGTGAACTTGGCTTCCAAACCCCTTCTCCTTGTCCCTGCCCTGGGACACAGGCTCCTGGAGGCATAGACTCTGATAGTCAGTATCAGTTGAAAAAGGCTACCATGAGTGAGACTGGGGGGCAGGGTATGGCTGTTGGGCTATCCTCTTCCCTGGACTAAGGCCTCAAACCAGCACAAGTCCAATTAGGTCCTTTGTGGTAGCTGTGGGTCTGCAGCTGGGGGCCCTAGGATAGACCCTCTCTGGGCTTCCAATCCCTTGCTTGGAGATGGAAGGCCTGGCTTAGGACCTCTAGGCATGCAGGAGAGGAAGATGTCTCTGGGTTAGAGGTCAGGCCCGCAGACATCCCTTCCTGACATGTGTGATGAAGGACCCAGCCTGGTGTGAACACAACAGCTCCGTCCTGGCTCCACCCCAACTCTACAGCAGGCTGCCTGCACCAGGAGGCACAGTGAGTGTCAGACTAGCCTTTAGTCAGGCACCCTCCACCTGCTGTGGTCTACCTTCCCAGGCAGCTTGACAGGCACCCTCAGGTCTAGCCTGCAAGAGATGGGAGGGAGGAAGAAAGGGGAGGAACCATACCCCACCCCACCCCACCCCCGTCAAACTCCATGGCTACCTGGGTTTTATATCCGCATGTGGAAATCTTTGCTGGGACCTGCTAGTTTTAAAACAAGGTGGTTCCCAACCACAGCCACACTCTGAGCCTGCACGCCAAGGGCATTCACAAGGGCACAGGCCAAGGGTCAGATGGCCACACTGGCTTCCCAGCCACATTGTGCCAGATGTGACGAGGCAGAGGCTGATATGGAGCCCTGGGCCTTCCTGCACTGTGCTGAGGTCACACTGTGCGGCCCTACCTCCCACGTCTTTACAACACGGAAGCTGGGCTCCTGCAGCTTCTCTAGTCAGCACGGGCAGGAACGGGCCCCGGGTATCTTCAGCAATCCTGTCGTCCCTGCTACTGCCATAGCGTGGTGGAAATCAGGATCTGTGTGTGAGGGGCCTTGGGAGACCTGGCGGCTCCTGGCTGCACATGGCACTGAGTTCAGGACCAAGAAGCCGGCTCCCCAGTTTCTCCCTCTGGAAGGAGTAACAGGAGACAGGCCTCCCTCTCCCCAGAGTCTCACTCTTGGGAGCTGTGCGCTGGAATCAGCCAGCACACGAGGCCCAGGTGACAGTACACAGGCAAGACCGTGCAGAGGGCTCGCTTACCTGACAGGGGCTCCCTGCTTGGCCCTTGTGTTGGGGTGGGGGTGGGGGCGAGGCTGAGAAGGTCTCGGTCACTATGTGTTCCGCGGGCGTGAGGACCTGACCAGAGACAGAGCTTTTGCCGTTTCTGGCATACAGCTCCAAGGCCTCTCTGCCTGTGCTTGAGGTCACTGAGGTCATGGCACAGTAACCCAGCACACACACAGCCTGCAGGATCCTACTCCACCTGATGTTTCTATGCTGGTATGGTGTGCCCCAGCAGCACACCAGACAGCAGTGGGGTACCACAGCGCCACCCTGTGTCCCCTGGGGGCTGGTGTTGGGTGGGAGTGAGCTCTCAGTAGCAGCACTGCCTATGCTGGCTCAGGGCTGGACCTCTACTGGCATGTGGCCTTCTGGACCCTGGGAAGGTACGAGAGGCTGAGTGGAGAGTGGGCTGTGCACTCTGAGAAGCATGCTTACAGGGGTAGTCCCTGTCCTCTGGTCACAGGGAGCCCATAGTCGCCATGCTGGGGTAGTTGCTCCCTTACCGCCTGCTCACCCCCAGGTGCCTCCTTGCCCACTCCTGTGGCAGGTCAGCTCTGCTAGGCTCTCTCTCTCCCCAAGATGGCTCTCCTCCCTCAACTACTGGTGTGGACGCCCTCCCGACTGCAAGGTGGCTCCTTCCATCAGCCCAGTAGACTGGGAGGCATCTCGGGTAGACAAGCCATTCTGCACTCTGCGTGTTCCAGCCCTGATGCCCAACTCAAAGTGGCTGTGGCCACCATTTTGGAAACCCACAGTAGGCAAGGGGGCAGGAGGAAGAGGCCCTGCCCTGAGCCTTGCTCAAGTCCTGCCAGGGGAGTGGAATGCTGAGAACCGGCGGGTAGCCTTCTGGCTGGCAGAGAACGTGGGTACTCACCAAGAGCATGTCCTTGTTCTGGCCCCAGAGATGCAAAGTCCTTGATGATGTGGTTCACGTCCAGCAAGTCACTCTGCAGAAACAGAAAGGACTGCCATTAGGAGCAGGTGTAGGTACTGGGGACAGCTGGTCGTGTGTAGCAAGCCCAGAGCCAGTCAGCACCAGGAGTCCAGCAGGCATCCCCTTCCTGTCGGAGTGCCTGAGGTCAAGGTGAGGGGGTGAGGTGACCCCACCATCCGGGTCAGAGGCAGGCAAAATCTACTTGCTCAACTCCTGACTCCCAGGCACTCTAAGCACCAGAACCACAAGCTCCCTCTGTGCATGCAAAGGCCCCAGCGCATACCCAGGCTAGGTGCAGGCTAGAGCAAGACAGTGCCCCCAGCACCTTGGTGGTGGCCTATTGGAGAGGCCAGAGGCTATCCAGAGTCACGACTCCTGTAGATGCTCCATTCCACCTGGGTAGGGACTCCCTGACAGAGGGCCTTGACTCTCTCCTGTGCATAGGCATGAGCCACACAAGGGCTGCTGAGCAAATCCAGATGTTGGGTAGGAGGGTGTACGACGGATGGGGAAACGAACAGGCAAAGGTGGGGGTGAACGGTGAAAGGTGGGGTGTGGGCAGGTATGAGGGGCGAGTGGTGGGAGGGGGCAGGTGAGTGGTGGAAGGGGGCAGGTGAGGTGGGTGTGATGAATGTGGGAAGTGAGTGGGGGGATGGGTGGT